TGGTTTTCTGTCACAGCTGTGGGACAACAGGAAAAGGACAGCCTTAGCCCCGTGAGTGAAGAGTCCTGGGTTCTGTACCCTTTTGTCAGTTGACAGAGGAGTTTCTCACCTCTGAGGCTTGTTTGCAAACTGGCTGCAATATTGTCGTACCAACCCCAAACCTCCCGGGCTCTCGAACCTCATCACTAGAAGAATCTGGAGATCATCCTGCCATGCCCCTGGTTTCACAGACATGGACCTGAGCCCCAGACAGCTGGGAAGATTCTCCCAAGGCCACAGCCAGAGTGTTGAAGAGTTAGGAAGAAGACCTGTCTGGTCTCCCAGTGCTTTCATAAACCTCTGGACAGGAAAACATGCCACTTATTTCTGTCTAATTCCATCTCTGTGTTCTCGAGTGCCAACCCGTGCAAAGCACCACGGAGGGTGCAAAGACATGCCCTTGGCCATGCACAAGTCCTTAAGGAGCTCCCAGTTGGATGCGATGTCCCTGCTGTCTTCACATCCCTCAAATCCACCAGCCTTTCCTGTCCCACGTAGTAAAAATGCTGACTCAGTGTTCCGTCGGGATGGGTGGGGAGGAGGGGGAAGAAACACTTATTTCATGGCCGCAATATGCCCGGCGCTCTATACATTCTCCTACTTGACTCTCAGACAGTCTTCTAAGGTCAGTATTATCTGCATTTTGAAATGATTCAGAAAAGTTGAAGAACTCACGAGGTAGCCGAGCTCGGATGTGAATTCAGGTCTTTGCTCCAGACCACGCTGTCACTCTCCAGCTTTCTCTTCTTCCACAGCCATCCTCTTGTCCTGCCGAGGCTCAGGCACCTTGAGGACCTTTGACAAGTAAGTTCCCTTCCCCCAACAAATGACATCAAAATCCTTCTTGTCATTCTAGGGAACCTGAGCTCTAAGTTGAAGGTCTTCATTCGACTTTCCAATCCCCACCCTGCCCCCCTCACCCCTCCATGTCCCTCCTGTTTTTATAACACCTACCTGCCACACTCCTTTTTTTTTTTTTTAAGATTTTATTTATTTATTTGAGAGAGAGACAGTGAGAGAGAGCATGAGCGAGGAGAAGGTCAGAAGGAGAAGCAGAATCCCCATGGAGCTGGGAGCCCGGTGCGGGACTCGATCCCGGGACTCCGGGATCATGACCTGAGCCAAAGGCAGTCGTCCAACCAACTGAGCCACCCAGGCGTCCCTACCTGCCGCACTCTTGACCATGAACTGTCCGCACCTCTCTAAAGGCACTGTGTTCCAGGCACTGAGGCTTCCCAGACCCAGCCCTCCCCCTCTCCTCACCCTCACCTAAAGACAGGCAGCCCGGGCCTTGCCACCTCCTCTGCTTCCAGAAGAGGACACGAGAGCCTAGCAAGGCTGTCCTTCCACTGGGAATCCCCAGCCCAGCCCACACCTCTGCTCCTCAGAGGTCCTGCTCCTAGACATCATGGCACCTCACGATGTGTGTGTGTATGGTGTCCCCTGGTCATGTTACATGTGATTTTCAGTCCCTTTTCCTGGGGATCTCGCCATCATTCCCACCCATTGCTTGGTTTGTGCCCTTCACTCATGGTTAATCCTCTTTATCTTATTCTACCTGATTAGCTTAGCCCAATATCCCCCAATTACACTTGGGAATAGCCTCTACCCACAGTGTCCTTGGGTCTTCCTGATGAACTCTTCCTTCAGTTCAAACAACACCCGTTTGTGGAAACCTTCCGAGTTTTCCTCAACCTTTCCGAGGTGAAAGCCTCCTCCCTTAAGGTTCCTGTGCCTTGGCTGTAGCACTCATCCACTAAGTCACTGGAAGTCTCTCTTCTTTCCTAGAGCCAAACATCACCACAGGGACACTTTTGTGTCCGTTTTGCAGTCGCAGTCGCTAGCCTGGAGGCTGGCACCTGGGAAAATCTCAGTAAATATTTCCAAGTATTGCTCGCCTGGAGAGACCCTACGGGTTAAAACTAGAACCAAATTGTGGAAGGTTCTGCTCCACTAGACTCCGAGTCCTGCAAAGGTGGGGGGGACACCTTCTTCCCTCAGTGATTCCTGCTGTGCCAACGACAGGCTACAAACACAGAAGGAGCCACCCTGGGCTACCGTCAGTTCCCGGTTCCAGGAAATACCTAACCGTCGGATGGATGATGCCTTGGCGGAGATTAGGGGCAGGGGCTGCCCTAGACCATCCTGACCTCCCTAGTAGCTCCAAAGAGCGTGGTTCCATGGTGAGCAAGAGGTTGGTTAACAGCTCAAAAGACGAACAGGAAAAGTGGGAGACAGAGGAATGGACGTAAAAGAGGCACAAGGTGGCAAATAAAGGGTCAGTGAGGAAAGGGAGGCTGAACACTGGAGAAAGGGAGATCGGAAGGACTGGCAAGAAGAGCGTGGGAGAGCGGGGCTCCTTGACCGCAGGGGAGTGCTTGCGCACCAGCACGGCCGACGCCCGAGACCCTGCTACCCCGGAGGCCAGAGGCGTAGAGAATATTAAAGCTGACGTGCTGAAAGCCGCTGCTCCTGGAAACCAGCCAGCAATGGCCTTAATGCCCATTCCACCCGGCCAGGAACCTAAATCCTAGAAAATCAGCCGCGGTGAACAAAATCCAAGCCACACAGGAACACGGGAAACACCCTGACTGCCCTGTGCCATCTGGCCCTTCCTGCTGTGCGGCAGCCTGGCCAGCCCCGAGCCAACACGCCTGAGCCTCGGTCCTCAAGCCACGGAACTCGCAGAGGCCAGCCCACCTCCAGCTCTGGTCACCCACTGGCTCCGGACCCCATCCATCCCTTTTTCCAAAACATATTGCACGTTACCTCCCTGAGCTCTGGGACCTGTCCAGTTTCCGAGGGGGGCAAGAACAGGAGACCTGCACACATGTTGCTTTTGCTGCGGGTCCGGCTCTGACTCCATGGCCTGGTTCTTACCAGCACACGGCCTCCTGCTGCCTCCAGGGATGTTTGCAAAGTGCCGTGAGTGCTCACGTTTATGGGGTTCCCACTGCGCTCAGACACCGAATCGGATCCTCTGTGTGGATTCTCATGTCGAGTCCTCGAGATAAGCCAAAAGGGTAAACAGTCTCCTTGGCAGGTCAGGAGACTAAAGCTCAGAAAAGCTTTTCCAAAATCACACACACAACTACTAAGGGGCAGAGCCTGGATTTAAACCAGTTCCAGGGCCCACGACACAGGGTCATCCAGGAATGGAGCCTTGTTCCCTGATCCCAGAGTCCCTGCCCACATGTCCTTTCCTCGAACACTCGGGCCCCGCTTTGCACCCTGCTGCCTCCCGAGGACTGCTGCCCTGCCCCAGGCTCTCCTCCCTGTGCCATGCCCCTGGCCCGCGTGCTTGAGCCCACAGCCCCATCGAGGCAGCCCACTGACAAGTGCCCCGCCAGCCTACCCGGGTGCCTCCCAGCCGTCTCCTGTCCCACGTCTCACTGCTCGGGGGCCAACCCGTCTGCGCTTTTGTCACCAGCCTCAGAAACCCGCCCCCATCACCACTACAGAGCCCCACCTTTGCATCTTGCTGTCCACATCTAGTGTGTCCTTCACCCAACAGAACCAGTTTGCACACACACCAGGACCCGAAGCGTCTCTGCACGGCGACTGGGAGAACCAGTTAGCACACACACCGGGACCCGAAGCGTGTCCACACGGCGACTGAGCGCGGCCAAATCAGCGGCTTCGCTGTAATCTAACCCGCGAGTAACCTTCATCCTACGCTGCCCTTATCCTTGCACATCTCACTGTTCACCTATCAAGGCCACTTGACAGCAAAGAAAGGGAGATGTCAGCCCTGGCCTGGCGCTACCTGGGCTCTGATCCTCTAAGCAGAGAGGGGGGCTTGGGAGGGTGGATTTCAGCCAAGGGAGCAAAGGTCCTTCACCTCGCAGCCCTGGATTCACCTGCCGCGCGGCTCCGCGCCCTCCTCGTTGCTGCACGCCAAGTGCTTCTCGCACCAGCATCCCGACGTGTGCACACGCGCGTGTGTGACCTCCTTGCACAGATCTGCTCCTCTCCCTGTGCTGTTATCCCCCCCACCACGCAGGGCGGGGGGGCGGGGGAGGCTGGCGAGGACAGGCGCAGAGAAGGAAGACCCAGATGGCCCAGAGACGACTGTGGTTGCGGAGGCAGCTGCGTCTTCCCCGCGCTCCCGGGGCTGGTTCTCTGCCAGCTGCAGCTCGGGGCGAGGGGGCTGCTGGGGAAGTGGGCAGACGGGGCAGAAAGCACTTCCTTTCACTCCAGACCCCAGGGCCCGAAGCAAAGCGTCATCACATCTCCTTCCGAACATCTCTCCTCCCCGCATCCCGTTTCTCTAGTTTACGGGCACACTGTGTCGCCTGTTTCTGCACATTCCCGATGCCCGCAGTGCGCTGGGTGCCATCCCATCGGGGGTCCCAGAGCTCACGGTCGGGGCACTCGGAGCTGGAACGCCTGCTAGCACTGGGCTGTGTGTTTGCTCATGTGCTCACGCTGCCTCTGCCGCGAGGCCCCGGGCCAAGCAGCGATCCTGCCCTTGACCTCCACCCAGCATGGCCATCCAGCATAACCTCCCCACCGTCCGTCTGTCCAGCCGGAAACCTGAGGTGAAAGACCTTCCCAGGTGCCTGGAGCATCTTGGCCGGCGGCATAGCAGTTCCAAAAAGAAACTCTCTCGGAGCAATTAAACATTAAAAGTGTTATATTCAGAGGTTTCTCGTGCATGGATGTCTCCTTCCCTGCCTCAGGTTCTCCACGCGTCAGGCGCGCAAGGGGCGTCTGCTTGTGGTGCGAGGTCCGTGCACACCTGACAGCTGAATGACTGCGTCCCAAGGAACGAAGTCTGGTCCGCACTGAAGACATCCACGTCCTAAGTGACATCTCTCATCCTGAAAGACGGGTTAGACGTTCTTGTCACTCACACTCCTCTTCCTGGATCAGACACAAAGACTCTTTCTATCATTCAGTCCTTACGGTGCCTGAGTCCTGCCACCACCAAACACGGGGAAGGTCTCCACACACACACACACACACACACACACACACACACACACACACACACACCTAAAATTGCACTGGAAATATACATGCTGCGTGAGGAATGGAGCAACTTCCCCAAAGATCCCCCTTGCTTCTCTGTTAGCGTCACCTGGTGGCTCAGGCTCTGCCTTCAGAAGTTAACATGCTTCCAATGGGACACTGGCCTTTCGGTCTCTTTAGCTTATCACACAAGCCTAGTCCTCTTTTTCCGTCCCTTGTACACTCATGTCACATCCATATCTGAAAGACAGCCACCCCGAGGTAGATAGTAGACCCACTCCAAGAGGTGAGTTAACAGGTGTCCTTTTCAATGTGCTAAAATGCTTGTGGACACTTAAAATGAGTGTAGAACACCCTGGTGGCTGCTTCTTCCTGCCTCTGCATTTCACACGGCAGCCCCAAGTCTCATGTTCTTCCGTCGTATTCCCCCTCCCATCTGGCTCATGAGATGAGGAACGGTAGATCTGCTGGACCCTGTGGTCTCTAGATACTCTTGGCTCATGTCTTCTCACTTGATCTCAAGTGGGCTTAAGAAGACTGTCATTCAAGACCATATTTTCAGGGCCTGTAATAAGGAACCATGTGGAGAGAATCCCAAAGTGCTTTTCTTAGAGCTTATATAAGCCAAAAAAGGTCTTAGATTCCTCAAAACTGACCAGAGATAGTTCAGACACATTGACATATAAATGGTCAGTACTGGTGAGATTGAATACTGCCCCCAGGTAGCTGCTGCGGGCCCACATCTGGCCAGTAGTGCAGTAGTTCATTAACTTCCCCTCCATCAGCACTAGATCCTGGGGATACTTAGAGTTCCTCAAATAGACCTTGTGATTCAGGGGCCGGTTGTTGCAGGACTGACCCCTGAAGTAAACTTTGGAATACACAAAGTAGAGCCCAGTATCATTGATCACAAGGCCACCCTTCTTATACTTCACCCCAGAGACAAGGGCAATTCCATATGTGTCTTCCCATTCCAGAGGGATGGATCTTGAGTTGGGCTTGCCTGAAATCAAATCAGAGAGGAGCTTTCAGCCAGGACTGCTCATGCACCCAACAAACGAAGCTTCTAAGGTGAAACTGTGGGCCGTTCCTTGAGCAAAGGACCAAAATGGCACAGCCCATATGGAACTGGCTAATGGGTCAGACTCGATCCATCACTGAATTCCTGCGACACCGCTATCGAATTGCTTGCCCTAATTTTGTCATCTACACAACTGGGACAATAATATATATCCTAATCAATTATAAGGAGACATTAATGAAATTAGTTTAGTTCTCTGGAACACAGACTGTATGATCTTCAGAACTAACACCAAAATTTCTAGGTTTTGAGGTCTCTCTAGGTGGAAAAAAGCTAAACCCAAGGAAATCATAAAGTTGGGAAGAACCCTTAGGGATCATCTGGTCCAACTCCTTACCTATACTAAGAAGTCTTCAGTACCTCCACTTTGGGCTAAAATCCCCTTTCTTTTGTGTCTCCACAGCAGTATAATCATACCTTAAGCAGAGAACACTCTGTAGTACCAAAATGATCACTTATGTACCTGTATCTCCCTATTAGATTTTAAGTTCCTCAAAGACAGGAATCACATTATTAATCTACTTGTCTCCAGAGCTCGGCACACATGTGTTCAATAAATATCTGGTGATCCAGACAGGATCATTCTACAGCTTCTGCCTAAATAATTCCAGGGCAGTGGCATACCCTTTCTATGATACTTGTCCGCTTCTCAGATATTTATGGACTGTGCCCTGGGAATGCCCACACCACATTGTTCTCAAATGACTTTACTTCACTACCTGGCCACATGCAGGAAGTCCACCAGGGCCAGGACTGGGCCCTTCCTCTCACTCCTACTTCTACTCTTGCACAAAGCACAGTGAAGCTCTTCCAGAAAACCAGAAAAGCACTGACTAAAATAATTGATCACTCCCCACCTCCCTAGATCTCACCTCTTGAACCCATGCCCCAAATCCCCTAGGGGTCTTTGGAATGACGTAAAAGAGTGAGCTCCTCATGGGCAGGGGTCCTCTCATACTCCGCTCCATTTTGCCAGTTCAGAACATGGCCTAGACTAGAGTAGGAGTGCAGTTTGAGTGTGAGGTTGACTTGACTATTAAGATGGGACTATTCTTGGGTGTCAAATACTATCACCAGAAAGTAGCAACGCCCTCCGAGCACAGTACCCAACCTGTCAAAGGCTTTCCCAAGACCCACGCACCTCCCAGATACAGACCTGTTAGATGGGCCACTTTTCTCAGCTCCCTTTTTTCAGAGGGTAGATTGGGTTGACCTGCATCATGGAGAGATGAAAGATATATATATATAAAAATGAGATACCAGTTTTCTTTTGTTGGGACTCCAAACTGGTCATTTAAATAAAAACAATTTTTTAAAAACATAAACGGTAACAGTCTAACATACACTAATCATCCAAGTGCAAACCGTAGAACTTGCAGCCATCGGTACTTCAGAAACAGAGATAAAATGTAAACCAAATTGAGATAGACATATGCACAGACTATGTCATGAAAAAAACAATAAAAAGGTTGATTGAAAAAGAGCTATCATATCAGTTACTGCATTTGAACTTGCCACAATCCTTTGAGGTAGGGATTATGGTCTGATGGCAAAATGAGCTAATTTGGATGATCTGTCCAAGAAGACCCAGCTACACAAGGTCAGAATAGGATGGACGCTCAAGTCTCCTGGCTTCCGATTAGGATTTTTTCCAGTTCTGCTGCCTCTAGGACTCTGTAGAACAGAGGCCAAAGAAGACTTTGATTTTACCGCCTGGCCACTAGGTCTTCCCCTCAGTGGCATTCAACCATCTGCCCATATTAATCACCCTCAGATCTCAGAAGCCTTGACTAACTCCCCATTGCACATATAACACATCCCCAGCCACATGATCTCTGCCTGTCTGTCCAGCCTCCCCTCCTCTGCTTGCTCAGATCGGCCAAGGCGGCACAACACAGGGGCTGATGTGATCTGAACCCACCCAGCTACCAGCCCTTGTGCCTTTGCTCATGCTGTTCATCCGCTCAGAACGCCCTCCAAAGGGATCTTCATGGCAAATTCCTATCAACCCCATAAGTACCGCCTGCAGTACCTATTTCTTGGGGGAAACCCTCCCAGGCCATTTTAATCGAATATGGTCTTTCCCTCCTTTGAAGCCTAGAGTCACTTTGTCTTTACCTCTTTTGTCAGTTCTGACTCTCCATTTCTGTGATAACTGCATGACTTGTCTTACTCCCACCAAATAAACGGCAAACTTCCTACTATATGTTTAATCCACCAGAGTGGGCACGCAACCAGCAAATATTTGTTAAATTAAATTGGAGGACGTAGAATAGACAATAGCTCCCAAAGTAGTCATTATTTCTCTGACTTCAAATATTTTAACCGAAGAGAGCCACCACTTAGCTAATGAATTCAGCTAACACATTTAAGAAAGATTCACAGAAGAGCCCTCATCCACATCAGGTTCATTACAATTAGCCTGTAAAACTCACCTGTGGTGTGAGATTGCCACTATCAGCTGAGAACATGACCCGAGTAATCACGTCTTCTCTATCCACCCAAGACCACCCACCATGAAGGAGGTGTTAGCGAACAGGAAAGGCAAAACTGAGTCTCCTCTACATTCCTATACCACAAACCATCTGTGCAACTGGTTTGGCATTCAGCCACGTACTGACAGGAAATGGAACAGAGAACCACAGGTTGCATATCTTTCTATCCCTCGCAGAGCCTTGCACAGTGTGATTCTCATAGAGGGTCCTTAGTAAGAATACCTGCTGGAGAAATGCTGAAATAAGCTGGAAATAGATCCTACACGTAGGTGATGAATGTTTCCTACCCCTGGGGCCTTTGCACATGCCATTCTCACTGCTGGAATGTTCTCCCCTATCCTCCCACACCACCCCACATACATGCACGCACACACAACACCTCCTTAGAGGGGACTTTCCAGACCACTCTATGTTACATCGCACTTAGTACAGTCTGAAATTATAGTCTGCTTAATTACTTTTGTTTACCCTTTACTGCGCTCTGAAAGCTCCCTCGGGGTAGGACCCTTGCCTCTCTTGTTCTTAGTCACCACCTACACCCAGCACCCGCCTGGGACATAAGAAGCTCTCCAAGAACATTTGTGAATGAATAAAAGACTTAAATGAGTGAACTGTGGAAAAATGGAAAATGAAAAAGAAGCAAATAAGTATGTTTAAATAATCTCGGATAGTACATCCCAGAGAAAATCACTGTTAATTTGTTGAAGTACAAGTACTTCTAATTCTTTACTAAGAATATAAAAATATACACATGCACTTATATAGTTGATTTAAACTAAGCATAGTTTTATAACTTTTCTTTTTTATTTAATAATATAGAGTGCACAATCTCCATGGCCTTAAACGTAATTATATGGATTTCAGTCGCTGCGTAGGAGGCCCTCTGAATATACCATGACGTATTTAATTTCCTATTAAGAGGCATTTAAGTTTCTTCTGACTTATTTATTACAAATAGGCTTATAAGGTAATGATGAACATAATTATCTATGAGTTTTGGGGTATATCTCTGATTATCTTATTAAGATAAATTCTTAGTGATGAGATTACATGGTAAATGAACACTTTTTTAAAAAGAAGATTTTGTTTATTTATTTGACAGAGAGAGAGAGGAGAGCATGTGAGCACAAGCAGGGGGAGCAGAAGGCAGAGGGAGAGGGAGAACCAGGCTCTTGGCTGAGCGGAGAGCCTGATGCGGGGCTCGATCCCAGAACCCTGGGATCATGACCTGAGCTGAAGGCAGAAGCTTAACTGACTGAGCCACTCAGGTGCCCAGTAAATTAACATTTTTAATCCTTTGGTACATTTTTCCAACTGGTCTTCAGAACAAGTATAGCAATTTACATGTTCCCTGGCTGTGAAGTAATGCTTAAGCAAAATTTTTTCTCACATTTTTGCCAATCTGGTTTTTTTTTTTCTAATTTTTACTAATGGGATGAATGAAAATGGATATACCCTTGTTTGATTTGCATCTCTTTTCCTATTAATAAAGTGGCTACTTCGTTCTCCATGGTGAAATTGCCCAACCTCTGGTCCATCTGCGTGGATGACAAGACGCTTTTTACTGGAAGAGACAGACCTGGGTCATCTGTGCACTTGACTTTTAATCACTAAAATGATCCTAGAGAGTGGCGGAGAGATGAGTAATTAGGCACCTGTTTCACCAGCCACATTCCACTGATTTTCAAAGCTGTTTTATTTTAGAAATCCTCCAAAGGTTTTATTTTTCTAACAAATATTTCTACTCTGCTTGAATAAATCAGGACTTTCTAACACTTAGGGACTTAGACCTAGAATCAAAGACCAGAGTGTCCACAGGATGGGTCCTCCAGAGCCCACATTCTGGAGCAGTAGGGTGACTTGGGTCACCTACAATAGGCACATAAGAGAAATTGGAATCGGCTCCCCTCCTTGGATGGCCAGTGCTGCCTTCCATTTTCCTCCCAAGATTTACCTATTGTCTTTGCAGAGGCGTCTTGCTTCTCATCTTTATTTCTCCTTCCATGGCCATCACAGACAGAAGTTTCCCTATTTCACAGAGCACTAGTCTATGTGCTGGAAAGCTCTGTCGGCGACAAAGCACCAAGAGCCCGTGTTCCTCCTAGCCCCAGTTCCACACCAGCGATTTGGGGCATATCCCTAATTCTCTTCCGAAAAGTGAGATGGCTGGACCAGATTTGCTCCAAGCTCCCGTCCAACTCTTACCGAATCCAAAGTTCGGTCGATCTCAGTTGAATAAACCAGAGCATGCTAAATCTACCTGCACATGTTTCCAAAAGGTGTCCTGAAACTTCACACAAGGTCAGTGTTCAACATTTTCATCTTTTCCCTTGTCCTGAATCTCAACAGAGACCTTTCTTTTATTGAAGGTACCTCATGATTGCCTTTGTGGGGGAAGCTGGACTAGCCCTTGAAAAATGGCTAAGGTTTCCCCCTCAAGACTGCCAGGGAATGCAAAAGAACAACTTTAATGTGGATGGTTAATTGCATACTTTTTAAACGCTTAAGGAGTGCTTGGGTGGCTCAGTCAGTTAAGCATCCGGTTCTTCATTTCAGCTCCGGTCATGATCTCTCTCAGGGTCGTGAGATGGAGCCCTGCGTCAGTGCTCTGCAGAGTCTCTCTCTCCTTCTCCCTCCACCCCTCCCCTCTAAATAAATAAATAATTAAAAGCTTAAATACATCCTAGAATTTTTTTCTTTAAATAAAGCTTGGCTCTTGAGTTATCTCTTAGAGAGTCTGAAGAGGAGACGACTTTTCCCAGAAACATCTGTCTCTGCCTGCTCCTCTCTACATCTCCCTGGGAGCCACAGCCACTGCCCTGTTCACAGAAACCAGGAGGCCTGTGAAGGTGACAGGAATGGAACCAGCTGTATCTGTGTTGTCTCTTTCCAAAGCCGAATGGAAATTACTTGAATTGTGGGCAGTACTCAGTTTTACTGATTTTGAATGATTACATGTACGTCATATGTTAGGGCAGCTCAAGGAACCAAAATGAGCAATGATTCTGAATTAGCCAGGATTCCTTTTGTAGTATAATGTATCCGAGAGTGGGATGGAATTGAAGGCATCTGCCCCACGTGGTTCAGCAATGAGGACTGTCTTTAGAGACTCAATACACATCTGTAAAATGACTCACCTATTAGCTTCTCCAAAGACGATGCTGTATGACTTTTGCTGGTGGACTGGCAACAGAGAGGGAAAAGATGCATCGTAAATATGAAGTTCTTTAAGATAGCGGAGGCAAAACCGTCAAGTAAACAGAATAAACCTGAGAAGGGCATCTCCATACCTCAGAGCCTCTCCTAACTCGGACTCTGGCCATGCCATCCCGTCTCACCACACCCGGGTTTTGCAATTTGGAATAGTTCTAACATTTTTAAGTATTTCCAAGGAAATTTAGTTGGGTCATTTAAACAAATTCACTTCCGAGCAAGACTCCAAATTCTTTTTCTTTCCTGAATCACGAACCTCTAGGTAGAGGTTCAGCCAGCGGCCTTGCCAGCTGTGAAAGGAGGGACAGTCCCCACCAGTCCTATTTTGGCCCTGATCCTTTCCAAGAGAGCAAATATCCCTTTCACTCACTTGAGCCTCGGCCTCTGAGATAGAACGACTAGAATGACCCATTTCGAAGACAGGAAGAGAAAGGACTAGAAAAGACTTTGCAAGCAAGGCCACGGTCCCTCTGGGCCTCGGTGTCCCCCTCCCCCACGACCCCCCCCCCCCCCTCCGCTACAGCTTAGCCGTCTACACCGCATCTCCAGTGCACAGCAATCCCCACAAGGGCTTACCTCTCTGAGCTCCGCCAGCTCCTTCTGCATGTGGAAGAGCTGAAACAGCCCCAGCCCCAGGCCAACCAGGGCCACCAGCACCATGAAAAACATCACAAGGAGACACAGGCCTGTGTTGTGGTCCCTCGGCGTCTTCAGAGGCGGCAGGGGCACCGGCGGCAGGGGCGGCGATGGTGGCAGCGGTGGCGGTGGTGGCGGCGGCCTCCTCGGCCCAGGCCTCCCGGGCACAGAGGACGGACACGGGAGGACGGAGCCCGGAGGCGCCCAGGGGGAGCTGGCGCTGCCGTCCACCCAGCAGATGTGGGGGTACAGGGGGTAATCCAGGGGCTGCTGCATGGCAGTGGGTCGGGCTGGCCCCCAGCGCAGGTGTCCAGGCCGGGCCGGCGCGGCTGTCTGCTGGAGAGCAGGAGAGCCCGCTCTCTCTTTATAGTTTCCAGAACCCCGGGGAACACCTCTCTGTCGCTCTCTTTCCTCCTCTGTCTTTCTCAGAGACACCCACTGACTTTGCATCTGAAGCTGAGAAGCCTCAACCAGAGGCAGAGCAAACCTCGGGAAGTTTCCGCCCACAGTTCTCTGGTGACGCCTGCAGGGCCCCACGCAGAGTCCCCGCCGCCTGCCACAGGAGAGCCTGGTCTTTCTCAGGCCCCATGAGGGCTGGTGGCATGGGCGCAGGCCTGTGGGCTCTGTCCACCTGCCAGCGGCCGGGAGGGGGGGTGTCCAGGCCCCAGGGGGCGAGACTGTGGGGTGGAAGACAGTGGAGACCTGCCCACATCTTACCTTTTGCTCAGGGAATCGCCCCCTTGCTGCCATCCTTTCCCCACACCTTAGTACTATTTACCCTCACACAGCAAAGCACTATAACGTGTGGGGTAAAATCTGCCCCACCCCCTCTCTGGGGATTGGATCAGAGGCTGCAAACCAGTGGCTGAAATGCCTTGTGGAACCCATAGACCTCACTATGTTTTTTCTCTTCACTGTGGTCCCTTTTAAAATTGGGATAGTCTGCACTAAAATATATATATATATATGTATTTTAGTATGTTTTGAAACCTTAGCATACCGGATACCCCAGGGGTCAGCCGAACCCAGTCCCCCGGGGCTGCCACAGGTCTCCCGCTGGCCCGCCCACGCTCCCTGTGCATCACTGGGCCCCTGGCCCCCTGGCCGGGCAATGGCCATCAGTCCCCGCAGGCCTTCGTTTGCAGCCTGTGATACGGTTGTCATGTGTAATAAATGGTGCCCAAATTTGAATTTCACATAAAGAAATGTGAATCCTTTTTAGGATAAAAAATAATAATAAATCATTTTTAGGATAAGTATATCCTAAACGTTATATGGGATACACTAAAAAGTTATTTATCGTTTTTCCAACGTTCACATTTAACTGATTGTCCTATTTGTCTTTTACTAAAGATGGGAACCCTATCTGGACAGCCCTCACCCTTTTCTCTGGCTTTGAGTACTACTTATGTGCCCGTGACTCCCAGATGCTTGGCTGCAGTCCTAAACACGCTCCCAAACGAACCCACAACCGCTCATAAAAGCCGCTTTTCCATTTCACCGGAGAACGCCACTGTTCAGATCTCATTAGCCTTTCCATCATGCTGGGGCATTTCTGCACCTACCATTCTGGCTCTCCATCTCTGCCAAGGCAACACCAGATTTAGTTCCCTGCCACACTCTTTCCACCTGCCCCCTCCCATACTACCTGTTTCACTTGACGTCAGTCTTTGTGGTGACGACTTCAAGTCCTCTGTTTTTCTCTCCCGCAGCATCTGAACCCAGCCGGTTGATTTTCCCCGCGCCTGTTTCTCACATCAGCACGCTCTCACCATTTCTATTTTTCCTGTTATTGTCTTAGGTCAGACGTCGACTAGCTGTCACCTGCCGTAGTTCAGTGACACCCCAACTGCTCCCCCCACCAGCCTTCCCGAGCACAAATCACCCCGCAGAATGACGCAAGAACCACGCCGATAAAAACACACTCAGAGATCTCGCCTTCTCACCTAACACCTTGTGCTGGAAGGTTTGAAACCAAATTCCCTAGCGGGACACACAGGGCTCCTTCCCGTTAGAGTCCAACAGCCAGCACTGCCTCCTCTCCAGACACTTCTGCCCACATCCCACTCTGCGCTCTGGAGACAGCGTGACAGTTGGGAGCAGAACAACTGCACGAGCGTCTCACTCTCTTTTCGAGGTGGGCAGAGCTAATGTGCTTTTGAAGTCACACATGCGTTTACTCATAGTTGTGAAAAATGGCAAGTTTCAAGTCCAGAAGTAATCATCAGAATGTATAAGTTAAGAATTCTACCATACAGACAACCAAAAAAAAAAAAAAAAAAAAAAAGGACCAAAACCAAAAAAAAACCTTGAAAGTACCCTGAGACAACTCTGACAAAAATTGTGTAGGATCATCTTTTTTATACTAGAAAAATTTTACTGACAGTGGCAGATTCAGATGAGTGAAAAAACACACCACATGGGGGATGGGTGGAGAGAGAGCGTTGCACGATGCTTAGGGATTTGTGGTTCTGGGGGTAAACTGCCAGGGGCAGATCCCAGTTCTTCCACTTACAAGCTGTGTGAGCTAGACAGGCCACTGCCCCTCCTCGGAGCCACAATGGACCCAATCAGAACCCAATGGACCCAATCGGATTCCACAGGCACTGTGAGCACTGGTCAAAGCACCTGATACACTTAAAATAGTGCTTAGAATCAAAGTAAGCTCTCAGCAAACGTTGCCCTCACTGTTCTGCTAAGTGTAGCAAATCTCCCCGCATGCAAACCATCTGTAGACGTGACCTACGTGTCGGCCTTCCACGGAGGGTAAATCAAGGTGCAGAGGGGAGGCAGGTGGCAGGAAACAGGACAAGGGAATGCCCAACAACTAGGAACTCAGAGGTTTCACCAGTGGACTGATGGACCCATCTGTTTCAGGCTAAGATCCTCCCCGCTTTTCTCTCTCAAACTCTCACAAAAGCTTCGAGCATTCTTCGGTAAGAATGATGTTATATTTCACATCTCCCCCTGCCCTGTTTCTTGATATAATCCCATAGGAGGAATCAGAATCATAAATATCTCCCCCAACCCATCAGTGTCCTCAGATCCTGGGGAGACTCTGAACAGAAACGGAGACAGAGAGCAGTCTCTAAACAGCGGTAATTCCTCTTCGATAATGTCACCAAATGTCATATGTTGGCTAAGTCATGGAGAAATAAACACCGTAAGAGACAATAACAGGGGGTGCCTGGGTGGCTCAGTGGGTTAAGCTGCTGTCTTCGGCTCAGGTCATGATCTCAGGGTCCTGGGATCGAGTCCCGCATTGGGCTCTCTGCTCAGCAGGGAGACTGCTTCCCCCGCTCTCTCTCTGCCTGACTCTCTGTCTACCATGATCTCTCTGTCAAATAAATAAATAAATAAAATCTTAAAAAAGAGAGAGAGAGAGACAATAACAGGGACTTGTCACAGTTTGGGGTATTACCAGAACCTTGTTCATCAGCAGGAATAACCTTTTCCAGTAAGATCGTAGCTCTGTGATGGCTGGGGGTGAGGAAACCCATGTATTTGCCGTGAAAGATGCAGTGAAGGGCCACCTGCCTGGCTCAGTCATCGGAGCGTGCGACTCTTGATCTCGGGTCATGAGTCTGAGCCCCACGTTGCGTGTAGAGATTACTACAAATAAATAAACCTCAAAAAATCCACTGAATAAATAAATCAAAGGGCCAGCAGGCTGGTAGCTCCCACGTGTAGAAAACTCCAAATGAGGAATGTCTCTCTTTCTCACCTCATCCCTCTACCTGTGCTGGCGGCATCTCTGACTCCCGAACCAGCGTTCCTTGAGGATGGATGGGGAGAATGATTCAGAACTGGTGATTTCTTTCAGATAAGGGCTGGGATTGCCGGTCCTAGAGATTTAATGGGATGTGGGTGAGGCTTAGGAGCAAATTTAAGAGCAGGACCAAATCAGAGAACACTCCTTGTATAAGCTGCTAGAATTTTTTTAGGTATCTGGCCTCATTAGATGAAATTCAAATTATCTTTAATGCGGGTTCCTCTGCCATTGTAATTCCCTTCAGAAACTGCCCGGTCCCTTTAGTAAAAGAATTCCTGTGATCTTTCCCCATCTTAGCATGTTAGCCGTATGGAGGTTAAAAGAACAGAAGAGGCAGGAGAAGGGGCTCCTCTTTCTTTCCGTCCCTCCCGTGTTTTAGCACGGGAGCGGCTTCAGTGGACCATGGCCTGGAGCGCTAGATGTGACTCAGGAGCCACGCAGAGTAGCGCCGGAGGGAGCCAGAAGCTAACTCTTCCCTGGGGACCGGGAAGAGGATAAAAAGGCAGGGATAACGCTGAGTATTAACAAATTACATGTGGCACAGCATGTCTACCTCGTTCACTACCACTGGGTGAAAACAAACCCATGTTGGCTGAACTGCCAAACACAGGAGAGTCTGAGGTCAGAAACAGGGCCCTGGTGGGAATGAAGGTCCCTCCGCAACCTCACTCATGGAGCTGAGCGGCCACCATCGGACGACACTGCCGGTGCTGATGGGGGAGGCGTAGCAGGACAGCGCCCTCCCCACCTTTCTCTGAGCCCAGCCCTGGCACTCCTTCAGTCACCACCGATCCGTTTCCAGGCCATTGAGAGTAAAATCTGAAATCTTTGGTGTGACCTCCAAACCCCTCATTATCTGGGCTCTTCCTTACTCAGCAACTCTCTGCTCTTCCTCTCGTGCCATGCTGCCGTCACACGGGCCTTTCCACTCACCAAATGTGGCAAGTTCTCGCCCACCTCAGGGCCTTTGCACGAGACGCTGCCATTGGCCGGAATGTTCTTTGCCCCAGCCCTACCTTTACATGGCCAGCTCCCAGAATCCTTCAGTTCTAAACCAAACATCACTTCCTCAAAGAGGTTTTCACGGGGCACTCCATCTAAATGAGATCTTCCCAGTTACTATTCTTTCATGAGATTGTGTTTTGTTTTTTCCTTTTGTGGTTCTTTTCACATTTTCAAAAATAGATATGGACAGATACAGATAGATACAGAATCATGTCTGTCTTCCGCACTCTCTTGTGCACACAGCCTAGTACGGTGCCTGACAATAAATCCTGAAACGATTCTTACCAGACTCCCTGTATGGTAGTTTTATAGCACCCTCAAATCACAACTCCATCACTTTCTCAGTTTCTCTTTAGATTTTAGCTCTTAAACCCTCAGACAAGTCAGAAGACATTTGGGAGGAACGGCACAGGCTTACACCCAAAGGTGTCCGCCCCATTAATAATCCAGTCGGGTGCCAGGCTGGTCTTTCCTGCCTCCAGATGACCTCCTTGCCACCCAAAGCACATCCCAAGGGGCCAGGGAGAGACTGTCCTCCCAACTCAAAAGTTTTGGTACCTTTCACGTGCAGTCACTGTTTCTCTCAAGAGGCTTATCAACTTTTCTTGGAGTTAGAACCCTGGTGGCTGGCCCTGACATGATAAAGTTAGGTGGTGTCTCAGCAGAATGAGCATTTTTTATTTGATTCTTTTTTAAGTGGCTCCACGGCCAGTGTGGAGCCCAGTGTGGGGCTTGAACTCACAACCCTGAGATCACGGCCTGAGCCAATATCAAGAGCTGGATGCTTACCTGACTGAGCCACACAGGTGCCCCCATTTTGATGTTTTTATTGAAGTACAGCTGACACCCAGGGTTGCCTCGGTCTCAGGGGTGCAACAGAGTGATTCCACCTCTCCGTGTCGTGCTGTGCTCACCACAAGTGTAGCTACCGTCTGTCACCACGAACACCATCACAATACCC